TTTTGTTTTGTTTTGTTTTTTGTTTTGTTTTGTTTTGTGTTGTCCACCCATGATAGGACAGGTTGGTTGGCTGGATTTTTTGTTTTGTTTTGTTTTGTCCACCCATGATAGGACAGGTTGGTTGGTTGGATTTTTTTGTTTTGTTTTCTGTTTTGTTTTGTCCACCCATGATAGGACAGGTTGGTTGGCTGGATTTTTTGTTTTGTTTTGTTTTGTCCACCCATGATAGGACAGGTTGGTTGGTTGGATTTTTTTGTTTTGTTTTCTGTTTTGTTTTGTCCACCCATGATAGGACAGGTTGTTTGATTGGATTTTTTGTTTTGTTCTGTTTTGTTTTGTTGTTTTGCTGACCCTAGATAGGACAGGTTGGTTTTGTTTTATTTTGTCCCTAGATAGGACAAGATGGATGGATGGACTTTTACTTTAAGCCTGAACCTTACAAAATCTGTTTCCTCACAAAAATCAGTTTTATGCCTACATTTGCTAATGGGGTAATAAAGATGAACCTCAAAATATATATATATATATTTTTTAAAACAAGTTGTAATATCAAGCAACTTTTGTTTCTTTACCAAATATATCTTCTAAGGATATTACAATTATATTTTTGTTGGAAATAAGACAAAATGCTGATTAAGAGCATGAGTTTGTGCTTTGGAGATTTAACAGAGAAAAGAAATGTGAGGAAGATTATATAAAGTGTTCTTGAGGAGGAGAGTGTGGGTGGACCGAAGGACAAGTGTGTATCTATGAAAAGTGTAAGAGAAAAAGCTGGAGGCTGCGAAAGTGAAGGAGGAGGAGGAAAGGCACAGAAAGTGAAAGGTCTAGAAGTGCTCTGTGATTTGTTAATGCAGTTTAAGGACTGAATTGAGTCACATATACAGTACTGTACATTATTTTCAAAAGATATTCAAACCTCTTTCTCTTTATTATAGATGTATTTGTATTCTTCCTGTTATCAAGGCTGCTAAAGTTTCAGGTAGATTTACAAAAAGTTTACATTTTTTTTTTCCATGATAATACATTTTCCGTCATAATAAAAAAAATGTTGTGCATAAGTATTCATCAAAACATTCAAACATGGTGTTGATGTTCCTGCTATTTTACAATCTTAACAGTTTCCTGCAGCAGTGTGAACAGTAATGTTCTTCGTACAACAGAACGCTTATGATGTAATGACTGGATCTTCCTGCACCTTTGACAAATGCTGCTAATTGATCACAGCTGCAGTGTGAATGGTGGTTTTTGGCACTGCTTCTTCCCAAATGTTTTGAAAACCGTGTTGAGTTCGGGTCATAGTACAGAGTGTGTCTTCTGTTCTGCTGTGGTTGCAGATATCGATGAGTGTGCGGAGGGGAAACACTACTGCAGAGAGAACACGATGTGTATGAACACACCCGGCTCCTTTATGTGTGTCTGCAACACCGGCTATGTCCGGATTGATGATTACTCTTGCACAGGTGAGTGAAGAAGTCATTAAAATAAGCTTTTTTTTGCCAGGGAATTATTAGGGTGGAGAGAAGGGGAATGGGGCATAATGCAGGCTGGATTCAAACCTGAATCTCTCAGATGAGCACCATGGCTTGATGTGTCTGGAGTGTTTATAATTAGATCATACGTACAGTAGCTCCAAGCCATTAAAATATGTTTAAAGACCCCATAAATTAATCTAATATGCTACATTTGGCATATTTTCTATTATCAGATATTTTCCCCTCAAAAAAGCTAATTTTATCGTTTTATTTTTCACTCATTAAATATGATTCACATTTGTTAATATGTAGATAGAATTTAAAAATAATACATAATAGAAATAAATTACATTATTTTAATAATGTTATATGTTAATTAATATTTTATTATGGATGCATCTACTATATTTAATATTTTAGTACATTTTATAATATTTTAATATTTAATATTCCCAAATGTTGGAATAATTATGATTTATTTTTTGTCTCTTAAGCACATCAAGGCTGTGTTTATTTGATGAAAAACACAGTAAAAACAGTAATATTGTAAAATATTATTACAATTACATTCTAATATACTTTTATTTGAAACATAAAAGTAAACCTAGGAGCCACTGGTTTCTCTGTAGTGTTTTGTTTAATTTTTGCTGTTTTTATTATTTGTATTTTGTTACTGTGAGGCCGAGGATGAATTTCCACATGTGTGGACAATAAAGATTTTCAATTAACAATTAAACAGAGGGAGAGAGCAATTTGAGAAAGCAAATTGGGGGGAAAAAAGAAAGACAGCATATGCTAAATTTTTCAGTGATGGAAAGTACAGATGGTACGTGCTCCTGATCTTTAACTTAAAAAAGCAATTAAATCTCTTCAGGAGTGCAGGATAAGAAAGCAAAACACGATGCAAGGGAACAGCTACACGATAAATGAGCCTTAGTCCTTCTGTGACCTACTTTAAAAGTGAATTAATTACAACGAAGAGGCCAGGAAGGTTTCTGTCTCAATAAATACACAAAAGCACAAAAAACTGCACCTGGGCTGCAAGGTGCAATCATGGGCAACAGCAATTTAGCTTTTATTTTGGAAACTATTCAAGGTTTTTTTTTTCTGCTGATCATCTTAGAAAGCCATGTGTGCTCAAGGCCAGCTGCATTGTTATTATTTATTGTCATTATTTTTCAAGTAGTCTGCAATGCTGCATGTTGTTTTCTAATGGAAAGGGCTGGACTGATGTATGAAAGCAAACTTCTAATGACCTGGTAATATGGTTATGCTCAGTGGTTGATGAAAAAACATATATAAATTGAACAGCATTGAGCCCCAACCTTATGTAGAGGTATGGAATAAATTATTCTATGGTTGCATTTGCATATCTAGAGAATTATTTTAGAAACTGATCCATAAATGGCTGAAATTCTATTCTAGAATCCCAGAAATGGTTCAGAATCAGATTTTGTTTGTAATTTTTAAAATCAATTCTCCAAGTATGTGTCTTTTTCTTAAAATGTACAGGTAAGAGATGTTCTATTCTTTAAATGCACACCATGCTGCTTTTATATCATTTTAATGAAACTATTACTTGCAGCAGTTATCAGTTTAATTCTGTGTGTTTAATCTCTCGTTCTTCCCTCTGGATCTGTTCCCCATTGATGATTGGTTGAAAGCTTTGCATCTGTTGTTGATTGGCTCAAAGCTGTGTATCTGCTTCTGTAATTACCAAGGCTGGCTTTCTGATGGCAAAACATTATTATTTTCAATTATTCATGTGTGCAGTCACATAGAGAAAAATATTGCGTATTTTGCCTGTGGGATTATTATGAGATAATCTGCAGGCTGCAGTCACATCAGTCGAAACTGGAATTCATTTCATATGAAGCTGCAATAGACGTTACCTGATTTAAAATGAGAGCACTTTTAATCAGCCGATCATATTTTAATTTAAAACATCAGACGTTATTGGAATTACTGTAATTATTTTAATTGTGCTGTTTAACTGTTTCCATATCTGTTCATTAAAACTCTGTCTTGCCTTCATGATCAGCTCACTGATATTTACTAATTACATCCAATTACAAATAGGTTTTGTCAGTTACATAAACAGTGCTAGTCATTAGTTAGTGTTTGTTGTCAAGCAAAGAATATAGAAAAAGAATATATGACATTAATAACGGACATTATGGGGTTTCTAGTTCTCATTTCTTTCTGTGTCTCTCACAGAATATTTCATTATTTCCCCTTGAGCAGTCAGCAGATGTTAAGCCTAAAATGACGAGAGCTGTCCATATAAATGTTCCTTCAAAGATCAGAGAGATTTCACTTCATAGGGTTTCTATTTTTCAAGGAATAGTTCATCTCAAAATGGAAATTGTCATCATTTACTTGCACTCATGTCTTAGTTCTGTGACTTTTTTTGCTCCTCCAAAGGAGGTGTTTTGAAGAATCTTCATGCTGTTCTACAAGTGATCGATATGCATCACATTTGAAAGATTTTCCGCAACCATGGTCACCATTCACTTACATTGTGGAAAAGAGCAGCTTGAACATTCTGCTGAATATCTTCTTTTGTGTTCCATAGAATAAAGAAGTCATACACATTTCAAAAGACATGAGGATGAGTAAATGATTTTCATTTTTGAATGAACTATCCCTTTCATGCACAAACACAAAGAATCATCTATTCCAAACATGATTTTGTTGCATGCTTGAGAAATAGCATTTCTGTCGGTAAGAACGAATATGATTTTTGACACCCTGTTAAAGCATTCAGACTGAATATGTGATCTGCACTGCACTGGTGAAGGTTCCTTAATTCAGCTGCAAATGAATCCTGAGGTGATCATAGATGAGGAACCGCAGCATAAAAACACACATCTAATCAGTATCATTCATCAGTTAAAGTGCGTTTTAATGAGATGATTTAATGACATTTTAATGAGAGTGGTGATCGATATGCATCACATTTTAAAGATTTTCCGCAACCATGGTCACCATTCACTTACATTGTGGAAAAGAGCAGCTTGAACATTCTGCTGAACATCTTCTTTTGTGTTCCATAGAATAAAGAAGTCATACACATTTCAAAAGACATGAGGATGAGTAAATGATTTTCATTTTTGAATGAACTATCCCTTTCATGCACAAACACAAAGAATCATCTATTCCAAACATGATTTTGTTGCATGCTTGAGAAATAGCATTTCTGTCGGTAAGAACGAATATGATTTTTGACACCCTGTTAAAGCATTCAGACTGAATATGTGATCTGCACTGCACTGGTGAAGGTTCCTTAATTCAGCTGCAAATGAATCCTGAGGTGATCATAGATGAGGAACCGCAGCATAAAAACACACATCTAATCAGTATCATTCATCAGTTAAAGTGCGTTTTAATGAGATGATTTAATGACATTTTAATGAGAGTGATTTGAAGATGTGTGTTGTAAGATTTATGACTAAAGTTGATTAGGCAGTTTCGCTTCACTGGAGGATGGGTTTGAGGAGATGGCAAGTGACACATTTAAGAAAAAGACACCAGACAGGTGTAAACACTGGGATTTGGAGAAACAAATCAGTAGAGAAGGAGGAAATTCTCATATATTTTATAGAAGCACAATATGAGTCTGTTGTTGCTTGCATTGCTTATGTGAGTACATGACTGAGAAGTAGAGAAAACATTTTTCACCTGGTGGAAACTGATAGATCTGCCCATCTGGAAGATAGAAGGTAAATGAATATGTGTGAGACAAGGAGCGAAAAGCTTTGTTAATATGAGTAATTAGCAGGATAATTGGTGTCGCTTTAGCTGTCATGGGCAGATGAGTCAATGCAGATGAGAAATCAGACCATACAAACACGTCCACTGTGAGGGATTCATCTCAGTCAAACGCTGCTTGGCATGACTGTAATATCACTGATTGGGGTAAACAGAGCTTGCGTCAAGGGAGCCAATGGAGCTGATATTGGACCAGATTGTTTATTGGCTTTGATTTCATCTTTTTTTTTTTTTTGATCTTCACATGAGATAAAAAAAAATACATTAAAAATCAATCATTTTAAACGCTACACTTGAATTTAGGCATCACAGCATTATAATGTACATGAAAAATGAATATTCAGTCTTAGATTAGCTAAAAATTGCATTGCAGTTATTGGTGTTTTTTTTTATATTAAGTGAGTTTAATATTAAATAGGGAAGTTGCACATGCACAGTTAAAATATATAATATAGACCAACATATACATTGGCCAATACCGAAAAAAAAAAAAAATCTCTAATATCGGCCGATAACTGATATCAGCATATATTGTGCATCCCTAATAACAAACATAAGGTTAGATTTTTAGTTTTGTTTTGTTTTAGACAGATCTCTCTCTCTTTTGATTGGTCTGTATGATATATTTATATTTCACTGAAGTTTCACCAACATCACAGTAACTTCACTATTCTCTGTGAGTGTCTGTTCGATTCTCCTTAAATCCTGGCTGCTGTGGGAACATTTTTCCCCAAAGAGAAATATTAATGACAGAGGCTCTGCAGCGGAGGACCTTTCTTTGACATTTCATTTCTTCTAGTATGGGGTCATCTGGAGGTCATTGTAAGACTGTAACATTGTGAAACAATATATGGACTGGTTTGCTGTCTTTATTATAAATCATATGTTTCAATCCAATAATTTGGTTATTTCATTTAGTAATTTACGAGAAAATAGAAAATGACTATTAAAAATTAAAGTTAGTTAGAGTGCTAGTGACAAAATAATACATAAATAAACCTTGATTTTTAAGTGAAAGTCGGAGGAAAATAAAAAGGCAAAGGCTAAAAAAAACTGAAAATGTATAGTTTATTATGTTCAATTAAATAAAAAAATAAATAAGAGTTAACACCTCAGTATAGGGACCAATTTTCACTATAGTTGCTTATTAGCATGCCTATTATTAACATATTGGCAGTTTATTACTTATAAAGCACATATTCTGCATAACCATATTCCACATACCTAATCCTACCCAATACCTAAACTTAACAACTACCTTACGAACTATTAATAAGCAGCAAATTAGGAGTTTGTTGAGGCACAAATCATAGTGAATGGTTTGTTAATAGCAAGAATTGAACCTTAAAATAAAGTGTGACCAAATAAATAAATCATTACTCCATCCATTAGTGTCACATGATCCTTCCGAAATCATTCTAATATGTTGATTTGGTGCTCAAAAAAACATTTATTAATTATTATCAATATTGAAAACAGTTGTGCTTAATATTTTCAGAAAGCAGTACCATTCAGAATTTTGGAATAAGTAATTAAAAAAAAAAGACATTTATTAATATCTTTATTAAATACGGATGTATTACACTGATCAAAATTCACAGTAAAGAAATTTTAATATTACAAAATGTTTCTACTTCAAATACATGCTGTTCTTTTGAATTATTTAATCAAAGAATCCTGAATTTGTTTATGTTTATTATTTATTTATCTGAACATCATAAACTATAGCCCTTTTACAGTTTTTTGAGACTTTGCTTCCCATATAGAGAACGTCTAAGTGCAAAAAATTCTTTGACAGCATCTCAAAAGTGCAGACAACCTTCAACAAAGACTGTGGCATATTATTTTTGTACAGTAGTGTCAGTTATTCCCAAAGCACCGTGCTCATGCGCATCTGACTCCTACTCCTTTCCGTGTTTTATTATTTCTTTCTTTCTTTCTTTCTTTCTTTCTGTCTCTTTCTCTTTCCTCCTGCCTGTTTTTCATCTTTGAGATGGAATTGCATGCCCTCCGAGAGAAACAGCAGCAAGGAAGATGGAAAGTGCCGAATGTGCAAAAAAGTTTGAGGAAAGTGTGCAAACACACACTGATGCACACTCCTCTTGTGTTTTCAGAGCACGATGAGTGTGTGCATGGACTGAATACCTGTGACGAAAACGCTCTTTGCTTCAATATGGTTGGCGGACACAGTTGCTCCTGTAAACCAGGGTACGTCGGTAACGGAACCGTCTGCAGAGGTAAGCACAAACAAATGAACTCTACATTACACACTAGTCTTGGTACCAAAATTACAGTAAAAATTTGGGATTTTCTATTAAAAATGTAATGTCAGTGTAAATAATAATATGGATGTTTTTGTAAGATTAAAAAAGAAAATTGGGTCACACTTTATTTTAAGGTCCAATTCTCGCTATTAACAAACCATATATGACTTTTGCCTCAATAAACTCCTAATTTGCTGCTTATTAATAGTCAGTAAGGTAGTTTGTTAAGTTTAGGTATTGGGTTGATTAGGGATGTAGAATATGGTCATGCAGAATATGTGCTTTTAAACAGCCAATATGTTAATAATAGGCATGCTAATAAGCAACTAGTTAATAGTGAGAATTGGTCCCTATATACTAAAGTGTACTGAAGATTTTTTTCATGATGTACTCATCCTCATGTCTTTTTTTTTTTCAAATCCAAATGACTTACTTTCTTGTGTGGAACACAGAATATTGAATAATATTGTTTTTTAACAAACAGCTTTGGTAACCATTGGCTTCCATTGTATGGACAAAAACAGATATTTCTCAAAATATCTTATGTGTCACAGAAGAACAAAAGGCATACAAAGTATTTCTCAATTGGATAAAAAAAAACAGTAATAAAAACAGTAATAAAAACAAAGAACAATTACACAAATTATAAGCCAAAAAATAAATGAATAGATAAAATGCGTAATAATAAAATAAAAAATAACAGAACAAAGATATTGCTTTATGAATTCTCAATTTGCATAAATATTTATTTATTTATTAATAAATATTTTATATTTAATAAATATGAACAAATATGTATTAAATAATTTGTCAAGTAGTTATTCAGGTAAACAGTTCATAATAAAGAAAACAATTAGAAGCAAATAAAAGAAACAGAACAAAGATACAAATTAAGCAAACAGTATTTTAGGTATTCAAATTAGTATATTAATAAATACATTTCTAAATTAATATACATTTTTTGGAATTAATGCCAATAAATTAATTTATGTAAATAAATTAACACTTAAAAGAAATGTAAATGTTATTTCTCAATTAAGTAAACACCCCCCCCCCATTACAAGCAAATAAAACAATAATCAGCATTTGCGCTGCATGACCTAATGCATGATCCAGAATGTTACATTTTCTTGCGAAGACCAACATTTTGACCGAGAAGTGTGCTTGACCATTCACTCCCACATACGGATGCATGCTGCAAATGGTGCAATTACAGTATATAAAAAAAAATTGGTGTGGTTTTTCACTTTTTCACTCAATTGCTAGTAAATTTCACAATTAATTACAAAGAAATGGCAAGTAACAAATAAACTTGAAATTTTGAAGTAAAAAGGCTGGAATAGAATTTTCTTGTGAAGCATACTCTAATAATCTTTGTTTTATTGATGGAAAATCTTTGTTTTACAGTGTACACGGCTATACTGCACACATGCATTAGCTCAGCCTCTGGTTTGCAGAGAGCAGTTTTTATTGCTATGGTGTAATCCTGCAGTGGAAGGACATTTCCTGTAACCTTTCAGCAGATGCCAGGGCAAGAAATTGGGAGTGGAGAAAAGTGAGCAACATATTCTCATAATGTGATGTTGCCCCTCAAGTGTTTTCATATTATAGTGATGGAGTAGAAATGTAGTGCTGCAGGAGCTGCAGAAGCCATGAGGTGATTTATTTTTGATATTTTCCAGGCGAGTGAGATACTTATCTCAGATTATTTCCAAGAATGTGAACATGTTCAAAGATGTCTCTCTGTGGACTGTGCCATATTTCATGACACTGTGGATATGTATGTTTGCTATAAATTTGATGATTAATGTCTAAGGATAATATAAAGTACTGCTAAACTTATTCACTTAAGTCTTGCTAAGATTATTCTCTACATTTTGCTGTTTGCATAACAGAAGAATATAGCTCTGTGTTACAATACAGAATATAAACTAATTAATGTTATTTATTTTATTATAATTAGAATACAGATTATTATCAAAATATTCAGTATTGAAAATGTTACTTATTCACAATAACAACAAATTAATAATTAAATGTAACAAATTTATTTATAAATTATTTAAAAAAGAAAAATATAATTACTTGGTATAACTATTTTTTATAATAGTGGGAATTATAGTAAAATGATTAATCTGAATTATAGTAAAAGTTAAATATGATTAACTTTTTATTTTTTAATATATTTTAATATTAATATAATTTAATGTAAGTTAATATTAATATAAATAATATAAAAATAAAAATATAATAATGTAATATAATAGTGATGGATATAAAAATTCAAATGATAATAAAAGTTCAATATTAAAATATTTTCAGTAGTTGCTATGCTAGTGAAATTCTATGATTTTTCGATAACAATTTAAACCTCAAATTTAAGTTAAATATTAATATAAATGATTAATGACTATTTATATTAATTATTATAATTAATTATCATAAATATTAATAATTGTTATGTGCTTATTAATAATATACAATGTAATATTTAGTTGTAACGTAATATGAATATGAATAATGTTTGCTTGTTGTTAATATTTATTATTTTGTGGGTAGAATGGTGAAATTATGACAAAACTAATATTCTTCAGTCTGGTTGTACTGTTTTTTTTTTTTATTGTAATGACAATGAGCTTCATGTTTTTGAATATTTGATTTACTTACTTATTTGTTGGTTGTTTTATGTTGTTAATGAACTAAATTAACAAAAATACAGACAAAGACAAAAAATGACAGAGAAATAAGACAATAAAATCAGAAAAAGACCCCAAAAAATATTTGTTTGTTTGTTTATTTATTTATTTGTTTGTTTGTTTGTTTATCTATCTATCTATCTATCAATCAATCAGCAAAAATCAGTGGTCAACTTTCAAGCATGTGATACATTATCCAATGCAGCTTATCCTTAAATATGTGCTACATTCTGTCATCAGTGCAGCTTTTATTCATGAAACCCCACATATACACAAGTGAACCAAGTGTCATTGCAGTTTAAAGGGGTCATATGATGCTTTTTTAAAGATCATTATTTTGTGTATTTGGTGTAACAGAATATGTTGACATGCTTTAATGTTCAAAAAACGCATTATTTTTCAAATACTGTACATTATTGTAGGTCCTCTATGCCCCGCCTCTCTCAAACGCTTCGTTTTCTACAAAGTCCCTCCTTCCGACAAGCGCAGTCTGCTCTGATTGGCCAGCTGACCCAGTGCATTGTCATTGGCCGAACACCGCAAGCACTCGTCGGAAATGTAACGCCCCTTACCATATTCGCGAGCTTCATCTTTCAAAATAAATGTAAAGACAGTAAATAATGTCATTAGTTTTACCATCAGTTCAAGCCCGAAAGGGGAACAGAGTCACGTGACAGAAACAGTGATGAAGCTGGTATGTGTTTGCAGTACACAAGCCACGGTTAAGACAGCTGACTCCACTGTGATGTGACCCTGTCTCTCTCTCTCTCACACACACACACACACACACACACACACAC